TTCTTGTTCAGGTCCGGAAAAGAATCCTGATGCTCCCACTAACTTATGGCAGGCGTTATTCTGCGATGATAGAGAGCTACAGATTCAAAAAGTTAGTCAAGGTTCAAAAATAATTCACTATCATGTCAAAACCAATACCTATCAATAAAAGGTGGGAGAGAGTGAACCATTTGTACTACAGCATTTGGTAAGCTGTTCCTAAATGCAGCAGGGATGACTTACCCTTTACAATGAAGCTTAAAAGCTGCGAGAAATGTCGAGGTGCAACAACACCACGGTATGCATCCGTTAAGAGCCTAGGTATAATGCTTGTGGAGTACATGAGAAACGCATGAGAAAGAAAGGAATATTTCACGGAGAAGCTGTTCCAGTTCATCACCATCATCTGCCACGGTGGGCGGGACTGGTACAGCTGCTGTGAGGAACTGCATTGCATGTACGGAGCCACGTATGGGTTTCTCGACAAGAAACCGGTACACCTTTGTGCTTCCAACACATCTGCATGTGCTGGCTCCACCACGCCAACTCTTGTGATGGGGAATTCAAATTTCTTGAAGTCTCCCTGGCGCTTGTATTCATCTCCGATACAACACTTTTTTTCGTTCCTTTTGCTATACTCGTGAAGCGATGGAGCTAAAGTATTAGGTTCTGGTTGGGACGGAGGCAAGGTTCTCCCATTTACGATCTTTTCTAAAGCGAGAAGCGCCACACATCCAAGTGGATGACCCAGTTTAGCAGACAGGATACTAAAAAGTAGATAAGATTTACCATAAGCAGACTAATGGAGGTTTATTTAAAATCTTATGATATCGTTATCACGGAGCTCTTCTCATTTAGTTTTATAAAGAACACTACGGACCGGTTTGGGAAACAGCTAAGAGAAGGGAACAGGAATGGAAGGCCATACATTCAACGGTCTGTTGATTTTTTACCACACTTTCTTGCAATGTTTTTATGTTGAAACGCTGATTCTTAGATGTATTGCACTAATCAGAGACCGCCAAGTCATGAGACATGGAATATGCATTAACTGTCTTGTCCCTCGGTAGCAGCCGAGGCTTAATGCTTCCGCTATGCTTCACTTTCACTGGTTAGGTGAACACTTAGCGTGGGAGATGCGCAGGCACAAGAAGATCCCAGTTTTAGTGAAGGGTCACAAGCAGAACATCACGATACAAAAATTTACAAAAGAATTCACAAAAAACCTACCTC